GAGCCTCCAGCAGGGCCTCCAGGCGGGCCTTCAGCACGGCCTCCAGGTGAGCCTCCAGCAGGGCCTCCAGGTGAGCCTCCAGCAGGGCCTCCAGGTTTGCTTTCAGGTAAGCCTCCAGGCGAGCCTCCAACACAGGGCCTCCAGTGGGGCCTCCAGCAGGGCCTCCTCCAGGTGAACCTCCAGGTGAGCCTCCAGCAGAACCTCCAGGCGGGCCTCCCGGGCCTCCAGCACGGCCTCCAGGTGAGTCTCCAGCGGGGCCTCCAGCAGGGCCTCCAATGGGGCCTTCAGGCAAGCCTCCAGCAGGGCCTCCAGGCGAGCCTTCAGCGGGGCCTCCAGGTTAGTCTCCAGTAAAGGTGAGCGAACATGGTAGGTAGAGGCAAACCCTCTGGCACCCTCGGACGTTCCTGATCCGGCCACCGAGCGGTAGCGCCACCTCGCTTGGGAGCGAGAGAGACAGTAAGTGCCGGCGACCAGCACGCAGCGCGCATCGCTCGTCAGTCCTCAGCCGTCAGTCGAGAGGTGAGAGCGGAGCGTGAGGACGAGAGACAGTCAACTGCCGACCCCGTCTTGCGCACGTTGTTATCGCGTTTGAAGTGAAAAATATTGTGCTCCAGCTCGCCAGCAAAATGGATAACTCACACCACATCGAGCCCGCAAGGGCTTCGGTCTCCCGCCCGGCGCATCGCCACCCAACGCCGCAACGGCAGCGCTCAACCTCAGCGCTCCCCCTCCCCCCTTGTCTCCCACTTCAACATCAGCTGACTGTGAAGTGTCGGAGAAACTTTGTGTAATGTCACTGTGGCGACGAAATAGCCATAACGTGTTTGTTATGGTTTACTGTTCTTATGTATTATTGAAGTCCAATATGTGAAAGTGTGAGTGAGTGTGTGTGTGGGTGGGTGGTGGCGGCGCCGCCCCCACGCACTTATTTCTGCACCTTGTCAACCTGCGCAGGATCAACTATGGTGAGTTACATATTTCTTATAATTCTGGGCCCTGCTGTTTAGAATATGTATGAAGTAGCTGCTTCACAAGAGGAACAAGAAGAAGGTAAGCCCTGAGGAGATGACGTGGCGTAGCGTAGCGCCGTCCCTAAACATGGCAGAAGATGCGACAGCCTGTATCAGGTTATGTTGCATATCGTTTGATTTTAAACTGTTTAGAACGGGCCTATGCATCTAGCATCTTGGTACCACCTTTACCAAGGTTTATTACGACTGTTGGGTTATTATAATTGAGTTAACATTGTATCAATGTCATATGTCCGTACACTAACCTAGACAACCACACCGGGGCAGTGTAGAAAATTGTGTAAACTTACTTTTACGAAGCCAAACTTAACAGAACCACTTATTGACACAAGAATGCTACTCCGATATAACCTAGACAGGATTTGTTTTGACAAAATGTACAAAACTTGGTTTATGATAACACATCCACTCGCAGCGAAACACAGTATGGTCGCCTGCGTTCTCATTTGTTTACATGGAAGGCGCTACGCCGTGCCATCTCCTCAGCGCAGCGCTACCTCCTCTTGGTTCCTCTTACGAGGCAGCTTCCTAAGTGATTGATCTTGCTGGCGGCTGAGCAAAAGCGAAGCCTAATACTCCGTCTGGTCCGAAAAAAAACCTTTTTCTGTCTGTCCGTCTCTCTGTCGAGGGATTTCCCCCTCTCTTGAAATCACAAAGACCAGCGATTTTCTGCTCAGCCAGCCTCAGGCCCGTATACTCGTTTTTGGTTTTCCAGTAAGTTACTGGACTCGGGTGTCAGCGCCGCAGGCGAAGTTAGATGTATGTCTTGCGCGTCACAGGTGGGGCCCGCACGTGTGAGCCTCCAAGAGGGCCTCAATGAGGGCGAGCTTCGAGCAGGGCCTCCAGGAGGGCCTTCAACTGAGCCTTCATGGGTGTAACTCCAGGTTGCGTTTTCCAGCGCCGACAGCTAAGCGTTCCCTATAATAAATCGCAATGCAGCTTTCGCGATTCGAAATTTGCCAGTCTAGCATTTCTTTTCTGTTGGACTGCGGCCCCGCAACGGGGAAACGGGCGCAGGGATACGAAGCGAGGTGTGGGAAGGGGGAACGGAATTTCACGAAACGATGGGAGTAAAACTGCACACGCGCTCACAACACTGCGCATAGCATGCACACAAACACGCCGCACGCTTTTTCAATCAGAGCCAAATACCCCTACACTCGAACGTGACGCAAGGGGTAATCCACGGTGAGGCTACACCTGCCCTTCCTCTGTCTATCCCCCCGCCCCCACCTGCCCTTC